CGCCTGTAGTTCCAGCTCCTTGGAAGGCTGAGGCGGAAGGATAGCCGGAGCCCAGCAGGTTGAGGCTGCGGTGGCCAGGAGGGGCCACTGCACTCCAGTCTGGGTGACAGAGTGAGACTCCAACTCAAAAAAATAATAATAATAATAGAGAAACCCATATTACTATATCACAAATTTTGTTTTAAATATTTTGATAGCTCTTAATTTAATTGGTTTCTTGTGTAATCCTATGTATTTTATTATATGCATTTAAAAACAAAAAGGGCACCATGACACAAAAAAGTTAAGAACCCCTTTTCAAAAGTAGAGTTCAAAAAAAGACTAGTACAAGGGCAAGTTCATTGAGATAAATGGACAGCCTCTTACCATCATTTCTCTGGAGATATTTATGAGGTTATAAAAAGCTTGGGTATTATTTCATTTTCTAGTCTGTAACTTTGGTCAATTACTTATAAGTTGTGCCTCAGTCTCTAGCTGTATAATGAGGATAAATAAATAATAGTACCTTCCTCAAAGGGTTGGTGTGAAGATTATTTCATCCAAGGGTGTTTAGAACAGTGACTAGCATACTGAGTGCTTGGTGATTATCAGCCATTATCCTTATCACATATTTTATGTACAAACAAGTTGCACTCTAGAAATTCCCCCATATCTCTAGTTATTTATTATTATTTTTTGGAAGGCATTTACCCCAGCCAAATGGCTCCTGTCCAGTAAAAACTATGGAGGCTTAGTAGACTAAGAAGAGTAAATGTGGGTCATCATAGCTTTTCCAGGATGAACAACTTTTTGAATGGTAGAAATCACATAAGCCAGAGGATAAGTAGAGAGAGCTTGCCCTGAAGTCAGACAAATCTGTTTCCTTCAGACTGTGACATGTATAAATTGTGATTTGAGGCAAGCTATTAATCTTGTATAAGTTTCCTTATTTGTAAAACAGAAATAGAAATAACTTCCTCTCAGAGCTTTCAGAATTAAATGAGATGATGGAAATTAAAACATAGGTTCATAGACACAGTACATAGAATGAACTCCGCACGTATTAGCAGGCTCCCATTTTTGCTTTCTTCACTTCTATTACCAACCCTCAGAATCTGGGGACTCCTACCTTGTTATTCTCCTGCATTTAGTTAAAGATTCATAGTAAGTTGCAACTTATTTTTATTTTTATTTTTTTGAGTTGGAGTCTCACTCTGTCACCCAGGCAGGAGTACAGTGGCATGCTCACAGCCACTGCAGCCTCGACCTGCTGGGCTTAGGCCATCCTTCTGCCTCAGCCTAGTAAGTTGCAACTTTTATAAAAACAAAAAGCCCCTAACAGACATCCTCCATTTACTTTACAGAGGGAATTACCCCACGTGGCCATATAAGAAAGGAGCCACTTGCAGTGCCTGCCCCAACAATGACAAGTGTTTGGATGATCTCTGCGGTGAGTACAAGGAACATTCTACCAATAGAACAATGTAATAGAAACTGCTGTAACTCTCTACAGAATTAAGAGTGAACCCATTTCTTATTCTAACAACCATTTTTAAGGAAATTGGCAGCAATCAAACCAATGGCTTACTGTGCTAGGAATGAATATGTTTACAACACATTTAAGGAAGAAAATCATATCCTTTTTATTTAGTTCCAATTGGTCCAACAACAAAAATATGGTGTTGGAAACAGTAACCAAAATCCCCAAGATTTGCTAATTTCAACAAGATAAAAAATGTGTGTAACCAGGGCATCCTAATCGAATTCTGCATTTCGTGGCCCTACCTGCCTGAAGCACTCAACTAAATGAAATATAGCTGCTGCCGGGCTCGGTGGCTCAGCCTGTAATCCCACGCCTTCGGGAGGCTGAGGTAAGTGGATTGCCTGAGCCCGCGGGTTCGAGACCCGCCTGGGCAGCGAGACCTCATCTCCACAATAAATCCAAAAATGAGCCGGGCGTGGTAGCGCGTGCCTGTAGTTCCGGCTACTTGGAAGGCTGAGGCAGAAGGATCGCCGGAGCCCAGCAGGTAGAGGCTGCGGTGACCGGGAGCAGCCACTGCAGTCCAGTCTGGGCGACAGAGTGAGACTCCAACTCAAAAAAAAAAAAAAAAAAAAAAAAAAAAAATATATATATATATATATATATATATATATATATATATGCAACGTAACACTTCTTACGAGCATGACAGTATTTAATGAGGAACAGGGTGTAAAAGGTGAATGAGGATAACTTTCCAAGTATGTTTTACTACACTTCCTAGCAAAATTCTGCTTGGTAATTTTGAAACATTAATAATTGGTTGAGTGTATTTCTGGCTTTTGTTCCACACACAAGCCTTTGCATCCCAGTATGATTTTTATTGCATTTTTTTTCCTCGTGATGTGAAGGGGAAACCTCACTTACGCTATGATAGCTGTGCAAATCTCATGGTACTGTTGTGTCCACATCTGTAACAAACTGAACTCAGAACAGTAGGACTGGGGTGAGATGCTTAGAGGAGAGAGGTCAAGTTTCACAGCATAACATTTTCTTCCAAGTTCTGTTGCTTACTTACATGTTTTTTAAGATGCCTTTCAAGTCTGTGCTTATAAAGTTTCATCTATTAAACTGATAATTCCACTCCTCCCTATTTAGAAATTTTTTGTTTGTTTGTTTTTTTTGAGTAGGAGTCTCTATCGCCCAGGCTGTAGCACATTTCTGGCCACCGCAGCCTCAACCTTCTGGACTCAGGTGATCCTCCTGTCTCAGTCTTCCAAGTAGCTGGACCATAGGTGTACATCACCACACCCGGCTACATTTTTTTATTTATTGTAGACGAGGTCTCGCCAAGTTGCCCAGGCTGGTCTTGAACCAGCAATCAGGCAATCCTGTTGCCTCTACCCGAAGTACTGGGATTACAGGCGTGAGCTACTGCGCCCCACTAACACTACATTCTTATCTTACTCCAGGTACAGTAGCACTTTTTGGAACAGCTTTCTGAGACATTTTTCTCCCAGTTCAACCATTCTTTATTTCACTTATTGATCTTGTTAAGGGAATTTAGTAACTTGCAGCCACAATGCAACTGTCTTCTCAGGGTATCAACATATTCACTGAATTCTCTTTCATGTCGCTGTAAAACTACAAAACATATATATTTCTTCCAAGTTGAGCAGTATAAAATAGAGGTTAAAATCATAGATTTTAGAACCAATGTGTCAATTTCCAATTCCACCACTGTGACCGTGGGTAATTTTCTGTTCCTATACTCTCAATTTGATGAAAAACCACATTCCCTTTAAAAATCTAGATAATCGGGTGGGTACAGTGGCTCATGCCTGTAATCTCAGCACTTTGGGAGGCTGAGTGTGAGGAGTGCTTGAGCCTAGGTGTTTGAGACCAGCCTGGGAAAATAGTGAGACCTTGTCTGAATCAATCAATCAATCAAGTAACCCAGGCGTAGTGGTGTGTGCCCAAAGTCTCAACTATTCAGGCAGCTGAGGTAGGAGGACTGCCTGAGCCCAGGAGGCCGAGGCAGCAGTGTGCTGTGATCATGCCCCTGCACTCCAGCCTAGGCAAGAGACTCCAACTCAAAAACAAACAAATAATCTAGATAATTAGTAACACCACCACAATGACAAGAAAATATTGCTCGTGTTTCAGCTTTTGATGGTAGGAGGTGTAGCTTTAGATGGTCTCTAATCTTGTGGAATAAAATTTAGAAGACAAACACTATAGCCCAATAATACGAACTCCTGACACGTGCATGGTATTTATAAGATGTGAATTCTATTACCCATTTACTTTAGATGACTTCTCAGCATCCTCTAGGTTGATCTTTTCACTAATTTCCTATTCTCAAAGTCAGGTTTATGTAATTTCTGTCTTCATAGAAATGTAGGCTTATTTGAAAGTATTCTACTTTTTGCACTAATACTGAATAAATAATAGCATTTGAAATTAAAAAAAAAAACTTAAGAATAACCATCTCACTTCTTATTATGAAGTCTGATAAGGGCAGAAGTTAAAGGATAAAAGCCTTTATTTAACAAATTCTGACAAATTATGGCAAGAACCGATACACAATTTCCTCTGTGTTCTTCTTCTAGATCCTGTTGGTAATTCAATAAATACCCACGGAGGCCAAGTCAGGACTGTTTTACAAAATGTGCTGGGCATACTAGTGATACATAAGATGATTTTAGCTAGTGTATAGATGCACATTTGTTTCGATGTTTGAATATTTAACATTTAAAGAATGTGTTAAAACAATAACTATAACATCACACCCTTGATTTCACAGATGTAGCTACCAAGACAAGTTAGGGTAGCAGCTTCATAGTAATTCACCAGAGAAAGCCCCCAAACAGGTATAATCATCAAGGATGCTCACAAGTGCCCAAAAGGAAAGCTTTTTGATGGATTCCACCATGGCATACAAGGGCAACTACAGTAGAACTGGGTGGAGAAGGTGTCTATTTCATAAAAGAAAGTATCCAGAGGGCTAATGGCAGTCATGGAATTTCTTTCTTTCCAGTGTTCTAAATGTCAAAATCTAAATAAAGCTCAGTGAAAGGAGTAATTGACTTTTGAGAGCCAAATGCCCTAATAATGATTTAATGACACCAGAAAGGTCACTGTCTTTTACTATTGATTCATCGCAAACAGTATCATTCTTCTCAGGAAAGAACTTATTTTATTTTTGAGTTGGATTCTCACTCTGTCGCCCAGACTGGAGTGCAGTAGCACATTCCTGGCCACCGCAGCCTCAACCTGCTGGGCTCTGGTGATCATTCCGCCTCAGCCTTCCAAGTAGGCGGAACTACAGGTGCGCACTACCATGCCCGGCTAATTTTTGATTATTGTAGAGATGAGGTCTCGCCAAGTTGCCCGGGTGGGTCTTGAACCCGTGGACTCAGGCAATCCACTTGCCTCAGCCTCCCAAAGTGCTGGGATTACAGGCTGAGCCACCGAGCCCGGCCAGGAACTTATTTTCAAGAAAATATTTTAATAAATTACTCACATTGATTATCTCTAATATTTAACTTTTTATTTTTATTTCCAAATGTTAATTGTATTTTTTATCTGCTACGAGTAGTATGCAAAATTATTTTCCATATGTAGTAGTGGTATTGTCTCCTTCATATAAAAGGTGTATAATAAAGTTTATATAAAAAGTCAACTTAAAAATACCATGTTACTTCAGATAGTGAAAAAAACAATCTTGGATAATTAACCTTTGAAAATGACTGCAACAAAGCTAAAGGAACAGTAATAGTTATAATTAAAGACTTAGCCTTTTAAAATAAGACAAAAGCCTCACCTATACCTAGCCTTTTAATTTTTGTTTCTTCTCCCTGGCTTTACAGTTAACCCACAGCGAGACAAAGTCAAACGTATGTACATAAATCTTAAATTGCTTCATTAAAAACTATGTGAATTATGTCACTGCATTTCAAGAAACAATGTCTAAGAGAATATTCTATTTTTGTTTTACAGGTTACTACTCTGTGGTGTACCCAGGCTGGCCCATATCTTTACGTAACAGATATACTTCTCTCTTTCTCATCGTTAATGTAGTAATTCTGTTACTGTCTGTTATAATTACCATTGTGGTAAAGCACAAATATCCTAATTTAATTCTTTTGGACTAATACAATCCAGGGGGAAAAAAAACTCATTCAGATATGGCTTTTTTTTTAAAGCAATAATAGTTGGGTGTATTTCTAATTTATATTTAAAACATTTCAGAAAAATAATGTTGCTGCAGCAAACTCTTACTCAAAAGGGAAACTGTTCAAGTTCCTAACATCTCAAATAAACTTGTCTTGACTTTCTACTTTTCTGTGAATGAGCACTGTTTTGTAGGTTGCCACAGCTGGACTCTAAGTAATCCAGACTCTTTGTTTCAGCTTTCAAACCTGCAAACTGAGTGAGGTACAATAGACCTTTCAAGGTGACTCCAGTGGCCCTCATTAGTTAAAAACATCATTGCTTCCTGCCTGCTGCTTCGACAGGTTTTCCCTGCGCTCTTGCAACTTGAAGTCTTTCTGGTTTACCACTTCCCCAGATTCAGAATAGAAGAGTAACTAAGGGATTTGATTTCAGAGGCCTTAATTTTCTGCTGATGAACTGTTTAATCTTAGAACAAAAGGTAAAACAGAATTGTAAAAAGAGATAAACCTAAATATTTACTTATCATTAGAAAAGGAAAGAGAGCACTGAAAAGTTGGCATTTATTTTCCTCTAAACAAATGCTTGGAAATCATATTTAAAGACTAACCAATGACATCAGACATTGGATTTAATGGATAATCACAGTGGTCACAATTCCAATAATCTCTATATAATAAACCTAGAAATTTACTCTCAAAATCATGCTTAGGCAAAGCCTGCCTGGGACTAATTAGGTGCAACATATACAAAGACACACATACCACATTCTAGCACAGAATTTTTCAAAAAATATATGGAGACTACAATAATTTATAAAGAATACTGTTCTATGAACAAAAAGAATTCCAAAAAAGGTGAACAAAGTATTATTTTTTACAGATAAGGCAACTAATGCCCTGGTATCTCAAAATCCTTTACAAAAGGAGATAGCTTCATAGTTCTAGTCAGTGGGTTTTCTTGTAAATTACTTTTTTTTCTTCTTTTTCTTTTCATCTGCTTCCATCTTAAGCTTAACTTCTTCAGCTGTAAGAGCGCCCAGTTTCTTATTCTTTGATTTCTTAATCTTTTCCTTGATGGTAGCCACATCAATTTTAGTTTCAGTAGAAGCTAGACAAATTAAAAACACAATATATGTAATCCTTTAGCTTTTACCAAATAAAGTATATGTGAAAGGTCATAGTATGAAATATCTGCCCAAAGGTAAACTAGAAATGTCTTCAAACTAGGAGAAAACAAATCATAAAGTATATATATATATATATATATATATATATATTTTTTTTTTTTGAGTTGCAGTCTCACTCTGTCACCCAGACTAGAGTGCAGTAGCCGCTCCCAGCCACCACAGCCTCTACCTGCTGGGCTCCAGTGATCCTTCCGCCTCAGCCTTCCAAGTAACCAGAACTACAGACATGGGCTACTACACCCGGCTAATTTTTTCATTTATTGTAGAGACGAGGTCTCACGAAGTTGCCCAGGCTGGTCTTGAACCCACGGGCTCAGGCAATCCACTCACCTCCTCACCTCGGCCTCCCAAAGTGCTGGGATTACAGGTTGACCCACCAAGCCTGGCCAGAATACAGTACTTTTTTTTTTTTAAGATGTAGGGTATAATTCAGGGTTAGGTATACAAACATCGATTATACAGGTACCCTTGTTGATGAAGTGTGCCCTTCCCTCCCTTAGCAGGTTCCCTCAACTGCCAATCCCACCTCCCCATTCCCCTGACAGTTTCCCACTACTGCCAATCCCTTTCTTATAGTATTATGATAATTGTTCAAGGTCCGCTTATGAGTGAGAACATATGGTACTCTGTTCTTTGTTTCTGTCATAGATCACTGAGTATGATCAACTCTAAATCCATCCAAGTTGCTACGAAGTCCATGTGTTTGTCCTTCTTTATGGCTGCATAATATAGAATATAGTACTTTTAGGGCTATTAACAATGAAGCAACATAAGATACTGAAATAATAAAGTGTGGTATGTTTCTGAGCAATAACCTACATACACTATCGTGGGTGAGCCCTCTCCCCTCCATGTGCCAATGTTCACTTTGGAGGGTTACTTTAGGAAGAACAAAAAAGTGTCACCACAAGGAAAGAAAATACAAAAGAGGAGAGGATTAATTAGAATAAGGCTAGAAACAGAGAAGAAAAGGCACAAGAGTTTTGTCCTAATGTCTTAATAGCCCCTGAACAAGACTTTCCTGTCATTACAAGTCCATGCCCTCTAGTCCAAGGTAATATGAAAGCCATGGCCAGAGATCACATAAATCAAGAGAAGACAAAGCACAACTTCTGATAAGTCCTTTTTGAGAAGTATGATAGCAGAGCTCGGGATCTTATGGCTTCTGTTACTTTTATTTTTACAGAAGATGCACTGATTGCAAAGACAGATCAGAGGTCAGGGGAAGATTGTCAATCTGGGATACTCTGAAATAGGCATTAGCTGCTACTAAATTATAAGTCACCTTAGTCATCTCTTGTCCCTCAGATTAGTAATTAATGAAATGCCAGGAAAATTGATGAAAGATATAGTTATTTCTTTACTCAACACTCAGATTCCGACAAATTCACCACAGATTTACTTTTCATAGTTAATATAAAGAGTTAAAAACAAGCATTACCTTCCTTAGGTTTCACAACTGGTTTTTCTTTAGGTGGAATAAAAGCTTTGTTTCTTTCCTCCTGTCTCTTACTGAGAGCTTCTGCCTGTTTCGCCTACATTATTAATAAAAAGTACATTAGTTAAATATAATTTATAGTTAAATAAGAATTCAGGTATTCATGAACTTTGCTGTTAACGCTGTTAGACACAGCCTTACCTTTATTGCTTCCATTTTCTGTCGCTTCTTCTGATTTGCCTTCAAAAAGTATGCCCCACTAGCCAACTCTTTATCAATCTATTGAAAACAATATTTATTATTACATCAGAAATAATGCAGATGAGAAGTCATTTCCTAAGGAAGATACAGTGTCCTTAAGGCAAAAACAGTAGGGTCAAACTCTGATATACTCATAAAGGTAGTGACATAAAAAGAGAAAGGTACACTAGGCTAAGGGAAATACATGCACACAAGCAAGAGTATGATAGGTGATGTGTCATAGAATACACACCAGAGTGGTTTAGGTGGGATGGAAGGTCAGTGCTTCAGAAAAGTGTGAGAAGAAACTGGAAAGATAGTTTAGTGGAAGCTTGAGGAAGCCTGAATGCCAGGCAGAGGTAGGATATGATTTAGAACTGATTAGACATTCCTGAGAAGAGTGAAGAGACCTAAGCAGCATTTCTTTTTTTTAGAGTCAGAGGTCTCATTCTGTTATCTAGGCTGGAGTGCAGTGGCATGCTCATGGCCACCACAGACCTCAGGCGATCCTTCCACCTCAGCCTTCCAAGTAGCAGGAACCACAGGCACATGCTACCATGCCCAGATAGTTTTTCTTGATTTATTGTAGAGATGAGGTCTTGCCATGCTGCCCAGGCTAGACTAGCATTTCAGTAAGTTACAGAAAAATGGATAAGAGACAAGAGCCTCAAATAAAAGTGGTGACACGCATAAGGAAAGCAAGAATTGTCAGAATTTGGTGACTAATTAAATGTTAATTAGAAAAAGCAACGGCTTGTTCATTCAATATACAGTCTATATATATAATATATATAACTGATCTATCTCCATTTACATTGCATTATTACATCTAAGGCACTGTTCGAAACTCTTTATAAGTTACCAGCTCATTTAATCCCCATTAACAATTCTTTGAGATAGGTATTATCATTACCCCCATGTTAGGTCATTGATGGGATAAATAACTTGTTTACAGTCCTATAGTGAGTGTCAGAACAGTCAACTGAGATATCACCATTTCAAGAAGCTTGCAGGGACAAGGAAGAAACACAAGTCAATTACTAACTGCAGGACAGGATCATCAGAAATGCAGTAGGCTGTTATGGAAGCATGATCTAGTTAAGAAATCCCTCTGCTTTCCCTCAACTCCTATCAGCTTCCTTTGGGTCTCACTTTCTTCCCTTTCCAGAGCAGATGCCATGATCCCATACTTGCACTGTCTTCTTTTCACCAAGATCATCACTTTTCCCTTTTGACCTATCATCAGACCTTCCTGGGAAGACTCCAAACATAGCAAGAGAGAAAAAAGACTGTAGATAGAAATGGATGAGTCTGCATGCTGAGCAGAAATATCTAGTCTAGAGAGAGAGGAGACTTTAAGAGTGAGTCAAGGAGGAGAAGGATAAAGCAAGAGGACACACAGAACTGCCAGACAGTACTGAAAACATCTAGGCTTGGAAACATGCATTTTTAGTGGATTTAACAGAAAGACAGGACTTTCTCTAACTTAGTCTGGTAGCCACAATGGGGGAAAGAAGCCAAGTGTTTGGACTGATCCAAGTTTTAGAGTTTTGCTGGAAAGGTGTGATGGAAAGAAAAATAAGCAGGAACAAAAACAGTGATGGGCAAGAGAGAAAAGGAGGTTTTGGTCATGGTGGGAAAGGAAATGAAGCAAAAACAGCTGACAAAACGGAAGGGATTCATAATTTAGAAAAAGAATGGATATTACAATTTATAATTTCAGAACCAGAACAGTCATATTCAGATAGCACATGTTTACAATAATGTCACTAAAGCAGAGCAAAGAGTATCGCAGGCTAAAATGTTGAATTCTTTATCCATGGTACGTTTATAGTAGCTACAGGGACATAACTGACTCCAACCACTCTGATGCAGTTTACACTCAATGTGATGGCCCCACTCCCCATTCCATGCACTCAGTTCAAAATATGCCGATTTATAGGTACCCTCAGTTTCTTTTATCCCTGTCTCTCCCTATACACACACACACACACACACATACACACACAGACTCTCCCTCTTTCTCTCTCTACCTAAAATACCCTCAATAAAGTTTAGATGAAATGGGTTCTCTTTCAAATCAACTTTAACATGTAATACTCACCTGACTTTCCGGCTGCGGTGGTGGGAATGGTGTATACTCTTTCTTAACAGATTTTTTCTTTGGTTCCTTGCGTTTATTCACATTTTTATGTTTGAACTGTGGCAAAAATCTTTCCCAACTTTGTGATCGCAATTCAGAATCTTTTGCCAACTCTCTTTTAATCATTAAAGTCTTCAGTCATGCAACATATAAAGTAAAAATTTTTAATTTCAAAAGTCACATATTTGTCAGACTAAGACATTACGGATATTGTTTCTAGAAGCAATAAAAGAACAGTTCCTAGTTTTAGTGAAATTAAACCAATTCCAAAGCAAAATATGTTATCTCAAATATGTATAATTAACCAAGCATTAAAAATTTAGATTAAGAAATGCAGAATTGTGAAAATAAAATTAGATGAAAATAAAACTAACTCAACTTCTCAACCATTATTTCATTAAAACCTTTAAAACTCAATTAACAGCAGGGAAGGTTCTAAATTAATTGATGTTCCCTGCAAGTAGGAAGCTTTCAGTCGCAACTGGGATACCACAGGAAAAGACAAAAGTAACCTTTCTCGTGATTTAACAAAAAACAATATTCTCACATTTCCCCCACTCCACTGGAATTTTAGACTTTACATCAGAGATACAAACCAGGCATCAGATACACCACTCGCTTTCTATAGATATGTAATACAACTCAAAATCACTTTTACCTTAATCTAACAGTGACTTTATAACTTAACTTCATAAAATTTAAGTGGACTGCTCAACAAGTACTCATCATAAAACTGCTCATTATATCCCTGCTACATTTTCAAGTGTAATCACAAACTTTGTGCAGACAGGGATATAACAGATCTCTCTCAGAGAGCTATAATTTGAGTGTTAAATCCTTTTTTTTTTTTTTTGAGTTGGAGTCTCACTCCATCACCCAGACTGGAGTGCAGTGGCATGCTCACAGCCACCCCAGCATCAAACTGCTGGACTCAGAAGGTCCTTCCGCCTCAGGCTTCCAAGTAGCTGGAACTACAGATACATGCTATCATGCCTAGCTAATTTTTTTTTTTTAATTTATTGTAGAGATGAAGTCTCGCCAAGTGGCCCGGGTGGTTCTCAAACCCATGGGCTCAGGCAATTCTCTCACCTCGGCCGACTGTTTAATTCTAAAAAAAGTTTTAATATAATCTGAGATGTTTCAGATTTTATTTACTAGAAAAAGACAGAATTCTGAAAGATCCTATCTTTCAATATAATATATAGGCTCATGATCTAAGATAACTGGATTGATATCACCTACAACAAATTCTGTAAAGCTTCTTTTCATCATATTAGAACTGTATGATACATTATAGTATCCCTTTCAATAGTTTTATCGTACTCCATGGAAACCTAAGCTTCCAAGGAAGTAACTACAAAACTGAGGTAGAGTTAAACAAACTGAATTCTACCTCTGGTTCACCCAAAATAGCTCTGCTTTATCTGTCTATACATTTGAATTTCATAAAACATTTAATTTCCAGAAGTTTCTGTAGCTAAAAGAAGTTTATAACAACCACTGGTATAGTTATACATAATTAGCACTCACTTTAATGTTATAAATTGGATGAATATTCTTCATAGTATCTAGAACTACTTTTCGAACCTGAAATTTGCAAAGAAAAATTAATTACTCACTTATAAAGAGATTTTAATGAACCAAGTAGAAGAGAATATTGCCAGATATCCTATGAATCAGGCAACAGCTATCAAATTCAGCATACTAGTTGCCTCAACTGCTTTGAGTAGCTTCTAGATCTTTTATAATAGTATTGACCCTCATTTGAATACAATGAAGTTTCTCAATTACTGTTAAAATATAGAGCACAGAACTAATCTGACACTCTAGAGCTACACGGCTTAAGGGGAGGAGATCTGAATTTACAGTCAGAAAATGTAGGCTCAAACACTAGCTGCCACTTCATATAGGAAAGTGACTTAATGTTTCTGTTCCAGCTTTCTCATTTGTAATATGAAGATAAACTATTTACCTCAAGAGTTTATTTTAAGAATCATATATACTTTAAAGACTTCATAAGACTAGAAAGTATTCAATATATTTAAATTATCATTGTTCTATGAGAACATGACAGACTTATGAAAAAAGAGGGCCAACAAAATTACTACTAAAGGCCTTGGAAAGGAAATACAACCACACAGCCAGATCCAGACAACAACAGTATCGAAAGGAGTCAACAGAAACAGCATTTGCTCCACAGATTTTCTCACCACATTTAATTTGACAAGTTAAAGAAAATGTTCACGAAAACATTAAATAAACATTATACTAAAATTCAAGCAAAAGGAAATACATCTTGAAGAAAAGTTTTCAGAGTCTGACCTCTACTGGCTGTAAACATTACTGCAAATAACTAGATTTTTGCTCAAATTTTCAATCATTTAAGCACATGTAACTATACTATGTTTCTCTTATGTGCTACAGACTGAAGATCTTTTTTTTTGAGTTGAAGTCTCACTCTGTTGCCCAGACTGGAGTGCAGTGGCCGCTCCTGGCCACCGCAGCCTCGACCTGCTGGGCTCCAGCGATCCTTCCACCTCAGCCTTCTGTGTAGCCGGAATTACAGGCATGCACTACCATGCCCGGCTGATTTTTTGATTTATTGTAGAGATGAGGTCTCGCTGCCCAGGCGGGTCTCGAACCCACGGGCTCAGGCAATACACTTACCTCAGTCTCCCAAAGGCGTGGGATTACAGGCTGAGCCACCGAGCCCGGCTCAGACTGAAGATCTTACAAGCCTACTTAAATTTTGTAGTGGGAGAAATGATAGTGTGTAGATCTTTTAATTCAGAAACAGATGTCTCCATAGTTGCCAGGGGTTGGCCATAATGTATTAGGGTCCAGAAGAGATGATTCCCTCAAATGACATGATACACAAAGTATTTACTAATGGAAAATCAAACAAAGCACATTCTAAAAAAAATTATAAAGCAATATATTATCCAACAAACTATTAAAATCAAATTACTTAATTTATTATCGGCTAAAAATTAATTGGAGATAATAAATAGCTCTCACCTCCTTTAAGCCACTAAAAGGTCCAATAGCTGAAACTGTGTTTCCCTGAACCATAATGTAACAGTTCGTTAAGAGTTCCAAGGCCTATATCAGGAAAACAATAAGTTGAAATTCACTACCCTGAAAAGATTAATCACAGAGGAAGATTCTCAAGTTTTCCATTGATAAAAAGTACCTTCAATGTAGATCCTTTGGGACCAATAAGCCGTTGTCTTCTTTTTACAAATCTTTCTTTATTTCTTACTAAAGAACCTATTTTAATTATGTCACATGCAATATCATCCTGAAGAATTCGCACTGCCTTTTGGAAAAATAAAAACACTCTATCAATAGTCTTTACAATTACATTTGTTTCCTAAGCCCCGTTAATGCTATCTAAGCACAAACATGAAAATTCGATGACAGAAGGAAGCGGGGGAGGAAGATATAATGCTATGGGTTGTCTAATGTTGATGCAAATAAAGCAAAGTCTCTGTAACTCTAGATTTACCTGTTCAAATGAAACACTCCTTGCTAATAGTTTTATTAGATCTCTGGCCCTAATGATGATATATGGATCAAAAGTCTTCTTTGTAGTACAAACAGTCATGCTGCCCTCAATCAGGTCCAGGGTTGCATTAACATGCTACAAAAAGAAAAAAGAGCAAAAAGCAGCTGTTTCATTTTTAGATAAATATAAACCTATTCAAACTATTAATTTCTGTGCCATTAATGTCTGTGTCTCAAATGCTATCAATTCCTTCCTTGAGGAAGCTAGATAGTTCAATGTAAATAATGAATACTTAATTATTTTCATACTTTATAGAATATAAGAAACTGGACCAACTGAAACCATTTATGCTTGGCTTCAGAATACTTTGTATTTATTGGAACACAGATTATCTCTAATTTTAAATATGTAAATTGATCCAAATTAGGACATACTCAACACTATACAGCATCTCTATTCTGGACCCAGCTCCACTCTGCAAACCGTTTCATTGGGTGAGAACTGACTTTCCCTTTCAAACCTCCTTCTAGCTGGCTAGGGAACTAAATACAAAGTTTAGAAAAAACTGACTTAGGTTCATAAATAAACAAGAATTAGGAAAATTCAGCATCAACTCCCAGTAGGAAAAAAACAGATTTCAACAAAGCACAAAAATGCTATTTTCTCCCTTGTGAGCATCATCTGCATAATATTTCAACATAGTGAGTGTTGAACAATTCAACAGATGGCTGGGCCTCTATGAGGTTACAAGAAAAAGCAAAGAGTTCAATCCCACATACAACTATAAAACACAGACTGCAGCTTGTTGAGTCACCTCTATTCTCAATGGCATAATCAATTCCAGAGTAGTCCCAAAAGCGCAAAACAATTTGTATCACAACCTAGTACATATACACACATAAGACACACATATACACACACACACAAAACTGAGCCAACAGCTTCCTAAAGTGATATTCACCTTTAATACATGTGACACACTCTATTTTTAAAAGGGTCATTATAGCCACTATATTGACTTTTCACATTAATGGGTTTCAAGTCCCAATGTGGGAGGAAAAAATACACTGCTCTAGGGGCATGGCAGCAGCAATGAAAACTGACACATCTTTCACTTAAAATGAAAAATAAGCAATTAGTCAGAAACATGACTCAGCTCACACTGGCCAGATACGAGACAACTATCATGGCCTAGAATAAGCATTCTGAAATGTAGACTTCACGAGTGAGTTTCAGACAGACTGTGAAACTCCTAAAATATCAAAGGTATGCACATTTTTCAAAATAAGTTATTAAAAACAAATGAACTATGGGAATAAAGCTTGCCTAAACCATTTAAAAAAACCAGGGGAACCAAATTAACCATATGGTAGCACTTTGGGAAAAAATCCATTAGCACACATATATTTACTTAAAAGTAAAGACATAAGCAAGAGCAAAATCTCAAAGAAATATATAAAATATACATACATGTTCATTCAAGGCTTTCTGCACCAATGGCCAACACTCTTTCAAGTAAGCTTCCCTATATTTTGGGAACAAAGTTGCAAAACTGCTTTCTTCCAAGAGTCCTCTGGGATTGTCCTCTTTGGAAAAAGTTGGCTCCTTCCAACCATCAGGAACAGTGAGGAGTTCTGATTCATCTACAGAGGGAAAAAACTTACACATCACATTTTAATTGTATCTTGGGCACTTTATTAACATTGCATGTACATATTCACAAGCTTCCTATACACCTTGTACTTTCTCTTCCCCTGCTTTTTCTATTAGTCAAGAGTCAAAAACATGTCTGTCATTACCATTAGTACACTGCATTAAAATTATCTATATACATTTCAGTTGCCTCATAAGGCAAAGATCTTTAAAGGCAAGAATTTTTCCTTTTGTATTCATACCAGTTGACATATGCCTGACAGATAACGGGTACTTAAGAAACTTGTATCCCACTATACTATTGTAAAGTTGAACATTCAAGTGCCACCTTGTTTACTATTTTAAATATAATTAACCTTTCTGACTTTTCCGGAATGAAACCTAAGTATGTATTAATATGTATATATATATATATTTGTGCATGTGTGTATAAAACTTTGACTTGTCTAAGGGACATAAGACTGACTCAGTCTGGCACTCCTTTCACAAAAAGAAAATGCCTCCTAAAGGACAGAAATTATCTCCTGAATAATTTATTTTAAAACTCTTAGTCCTGAATTTTAAAAACCCCTTAACTACAACAGCTATACTCTAATTCAGTTCTACTCAATGGTATGATCCGTTGACCCACAGCATCAGCATAAACTGAAAGTTGGTTAGAAATGCAATGCTCTCTCCCTCAACCTAGACCTACAGAACTTCTAAGGTGAGGGACAGGGGGCTGTGTTTTAACTTTCTCTTCAAGCCAGGCTTGGTGGCTCAGCCTGTAATCCCGTGCCTTGGGAGGCTGAGGTGAGTGAATTGCCTGAGCCCATGAGATCGAGACCCGCCTGGGCAACTTGGTAAGACCTCATCTCTACGACAAATAAAAAAATGAGCCGAGTGTGGTAGCACACGCCTGTAGTTCCAGCTACTTGGAAGGCTGAGGCGGAAGGATCGCTGGAGCCCAGCAGGTCGAGGCTGCGGTGGCCAGGAGCGGCCACTGCACTCCAGTCTGGGCAACGGAGTGAGACTCCAACTCAAAAAAAAAAACACACACACAAAAAAAAAAACAAACAAAAAAGCATTCTCTTCAGCAGATTCTCAAGCACAGTTAAGTTTGAAAAGCAGGTCTTTGGCCCACATTATCAACCCAAGTCAGGTATACTTTCTGTTTCTTACACTCATCCACTTTGCTATTTCTGGTTCAAATCACAGAGTATTAGCTAATCTTCATATATCATTCACTCCCCTAATATCCTTTTCAAAAAGACATCAGGCTAGGCATGGTGGTTCACATCTATAATCCCAGCACTTTCTGAGGCCAAGGTAAGAGGACTGCCTGAGTCCATGGGTTCCAGGTCAGCCTGGGCAACATGGTGAGACCTCGTCTCTGCAATAAATCAAAAAAATTAGCCAGACTGTAATTCTGGCTACTTTGAAGGCTGAGGTGGTATGATTGCCTGAGCCTAGCAGGTTGAGACTGCAGTGGCTGTGATCTTGCCACTTCACACCAGACTGTGCAACAGAGTGAGACTCCGACTCTGAACGAATGAATGAATGAATGAGCCCTCAAATTCTACAACAGTGATTACTTAAAATGCCTATATGACTAAATCCTTATACAATTTAAACATTTCAACGACTATCAGTAAAAGTCACCCACTACAACCCTGGGGAAAAAACTGAAAAAATTAAACAGCAGTTTCACAACAGCCTCATAACATGTAAAAAGATACATAACCTCACAGGTAATCATGAAAAGTCAAATAAAAACCACAACCAGACACCATTTCATGCCTACCAAAAATGACAGAAATTCAAAATTCAGGTAAAATCAAGTATTAGTATGGATGTAAAGCAATGAGAATGCTCATTCACTGCTAATGAGAATCAAAACCGGCACAACCCCTTTGGGAAAAAAGTTACCATTACTTACACCCTACACTTCAGTAATTTCAATTCTATGCTCATAACTTAGAGAGCTATGAATGCTAGTTTCTCTGGTGGTTTTATTATTTTAAAAGTTATATATCTATATATTGTATATATATATATATATATATATATACTGTATTCTCTGCTATGTGCATTGCTTACTTATTTTTAAAGGAAACGACAACAAAAACTTTAAGTACCTTCCCCATGCATCTAGAATGAGAGTTCAACGTTTTTAACATTTCCTCTTAGACTGGTTAAGCAGCCCCCGGGCTATTTCTCTAGTCTCTCTTCCTGTCATTAATACATAAGAAAAGGTAAAACCAGACGCAATGCAAGAAAGCAATTAAAAAGTAGGGCAGTCTGAAGAGTAAGAACTGTGTCGTCTAATATTTCAGTAATATGGCAAACAGGAATAATCGGTAAATGTTTCAAACTGACTGACAAACTAGAGCCAAAGACATATCAGATATTTCCCCACATCACTGTCTCACTCCATTATCAGCATTCACTCCTGGACCTATCCCCATCTCATTCTATTCCTCACTCCGTCAAGGATTTTTAGCCAACAGCAAGTTGAAAGGTTCCGCAGTGCCCCCCGAAGTTTCTTAATCCTTACCCTTTTACAGAAAAGGGATTTGCAGCAGCTTCACTTGGGGGACCTTTAGTTTTGCTAGTGAGCGAGGAACACGTGGGCGCAGCCAGCACCCCCCAATCATCAGCAATTATACAAGCACTCAAATACACAGAACAGCTCCAGGCGGCTTTATACATCCACAGACACACACAAAAAAATCGAAGCTAAATAACCACAAACCCCTGGCTTCAGTTCTCACATAACATCACCTTGGTTCTCAGACTTCGGCTTCTGGTTACGAAATTCACTTCTTCCAGCCGCTCTTTCTGGCGGCTTCAGGGAGGGAGCGGCCATTTTCAAATTTCTTCGGGCGATACCGGAAATGAAACCGTTTTTAAATCCTACCGGCGACACTCAAGTGCACTCAAAATAAGTTCCGCCGAACTCAGACCAGGAGACCGGCGCAGTCTCCCTACACACAGAAAGTCCACCTGTTGGCACAAACTACAACGCTTTTTCTCCTACGAGGCCAATGGAGAGCCGGAGACCTCTTTCCCTGAATGCACTGCAACCATGGAGTTTGACTGCATGCTGGGAATTGTAGTCTAGTAGTATGAGCATGTTGGAGGCGGTCTTATCCGTAGTTTTCCCACGGCTTGATCGTTTAACCTATGACGCCTGACTGGGGAGTCTGTCCACCCAGTGCAAACACACTGTCATTGTTGTCATTCATTCATTCATTCGATAAACATTTCTATGCTCGCCAAATACGTGCTAGATGTTGGGAGGAGGTACAAATATGAGAATACAATGTATATAGTCCTACACTGCAAGAAGTGACAGTGATAGCTATTTTACTAATTACTGTGAGACTATTTCGTCAGGCACTTTACATTATTTCCATTTTTTAAAACAAACAAAAATAGAAAATACAGCTCTGTGAGACTGATCACTCTGTGGAAAGTAAGTTTTCAAACTTATTTCAAACCTTATTTCTGATGGTAATTTTCTAGGGTGTTGGTATTTCTCTAAGTCAGAGGGATAGTAATTAGGCGACAAGTGTGAAGTATTTCAGCTAGCCTAAGATTACTCAAAATGTCTTTCTCCTTTCTATCCTCAACATTGCCTATGGCTGACTTCAAGCTGTGTGAAGAGGTCCATCACTACTGAAAATCACCACACTTCTAGAAATTGAAAAGTTCTTCAACATGCCAAAACCAGGACTTTCAATGATTGATCTTATAGCTTGCCATTTATAAAATTTTCTGCAGCACAAATAGGGAAAGTATTTGATAGGTTGAATTTCTTGCATTAGTGAAATGGGAGACATCAGTCTGAAATTCACACTTGTAACTCTTCTATAATAATTTAAATTTTTATATATTAGGTCCATATATGAAATAGACTGTTACTTATGGACAGAAAATCCCGTGACAAATGTTTATGTTAAGATTTTTTATTTTATCTATTGTGTTTTATAAATGATAGTCAGGAATTTTATGTCTATTAGAAATTGCTCAAAAATGATAAATTCCTATCATGGAACACATAATGGATGAAAGTTGTAAAGTGAGGAGTAATTTCTTCAGTGTTCCAAAAAACCCTATGAAGGGGGTTCTGCTATTCTTATTTTAAGTAACTCAGTCACTAATAGGTAGAAAGTCATACTTCTGTCCTGGCAGTTTGACCACTAGCAGCTCCAGAAAGACTACTATGCATTAGGAGCTGCAAATGTGAAGGAAAGAGGGCTGGTGGGGAGCTTGGAGGGGGAAGCGGAGAGAATGGTCTTTAAGTAATGTTTGCATTAAAATTTCACTTTATTTTATAGAACAATTTTCTAGAGACTTTCATACACACTTACATATTTATTTTTTATTTTATTCACTTTAATCTTAGTATTACTATTATTATTTGAGGAGATTTTGTAATATGGTGAAGATGGGAAGAGGGTTAACTAAAACTCATCCATCCTTTTTTTGCAACTACTGAGTCTGTAAACCCAACCTTTAAACTTCATTTTACTGACCCCAGAGTTCATTTGTCCTGTTGGTTTTTTAAAAAATATCCTTTTAAATCATTTCTGAAAGAGATGTAAAAAATGAATAATAATTGAGTACTAAGATTTCTTTTTTTTTCGAGTTGGAGTCTCACTCTGTTGCCCAGGCTAGAGTGCAGTGGCTCACTCACGGCCACCACCTGCTGGTCTCAGGTGATCCTTCCACCTCAGCCTTCCAAGTATCTGGAACTATAGGCATGCATCAACCACCACACCCAGCTAATTTTTTGAGGTCTCACCAAGTTGCCCAAAATGGTCTCAAATCCATGGGCTCAGGCAATCCTCTCACCTTGGCCTCCCAAAGTGCTGGGATTATAGGCATGAGCCACCACTCAGGGCTGAGTGCTAAGATTTCTAAGATCCTCTAAGCCCCCTATTATGGATGACACCACACATTGTCCTGTCAGATTTATCACTGGGCCAAGTGCTAAGACATACCACACATTTTCCTGTTAGATTTCCAAAAAGATTTATCAGGTTCCTACAATAAATTATTTCAGCATTAAAAAATTATTTATCTCGTCTAACTCTAAAACCCTCATGTTGTCAACCAACTAAATACACAATATAAAAACAGGTTCCATATGACTGGAAGTTCAGTGAATTTTTTTTTTTAATCTGTCCCTTGCCTTCTAGGAGTCAATAATCTAACACAAGATGTATCACAATTAGGAGTAGGGAGTAATTTTGTATATGGGATATAGTATCCTTTATTAGATAATAAATATAGAAAAAAATTTAAATTAATTTTAAAAATAATATTCATTAGTTATTAATATAATTATATACCAAGGAGTATATACAGTTGTAAGCTATACAGTACTTTTTCCTTGCTGTAAATATGAGATTAAAAATACAACAAAATGCTAATTTGAAGCTAGTAGTCATAAGTTATATATAAAATTAAATTAATGGAAAAAGTTTTAGTTAAAACAGTCTCTGATGTCTAAAGACAGTTATCAGTTTACTGAATTTCCATATTTTGGTTTTAAAGGCAGAAATAGTACTTATATATACTTACTAAAACTTACAATTAACAGTCAAGTTGAATGAGAACAATGTTTCAACAATTTGCTTAGGTTATGTTTTAAACATTTAAAAAATGTTAAAAACTAACTAATGGTATAGAAAAAATAAATTCTGAAGTTAATTAGTTCTAGTAATTAAACATTATAACCAATATTACATTTGAATGATGATGAACTTTTAAAATTTGTAACAATAGTTTCCACATATGGCAACTATTTGCTAGGCTTCTTTCTTTGTAAAAGGGCAGATTATCTAATTTCAACTTTCTCCAAAAAATTTTTCCAAGTTGAAAGAACAAGTTGATTTTAAATAAATATGGGAAACTCTCCTAAAATATCCTTAGAAGACTAAAAATTCAAAAGTGATTATCAAAATTATAGTGTCCACATGTGCTGTGTAATTTTCATCTAAATTTCAGTGACTCCATGGTTCACAGATCATAAAATATTCAAAATAATGGTTTAAAATGTAAAATATTTATATGATAAGTAGTATTAAAAACTTAAAAGATATAAGAAAGACTGAGTGAAATATTTGCATGACATTCAATGGATTAATATCAATAATTTTCAAAGTGATAAGAAAAAGATGTAAGCAATTCAATAGAAAAAATAAGAAAAATATATTAATAGGTAATTGTAATGGTTAATTTTATGTGTCAAATTGACTGGGTCATAGTGTCCAAATATTTGGTCAAACATTATTCTGGATATTCCTGTGAAGATATTTTTGGTGAGATTCCCATTTAAATCAATGGACTTTGAATAAAACAAATTGCCCTTTATCCTGTGGGTGGGCCTTATTCAATCAGTGGAAGACCTGAATCTAACAAAACTGACCTCTCCTGAACAGAAATTTCTTCCCTGAACAAGAAGGAATTCTGCAGCAAATAGCTCGTGGGCTTGAACTGCAGCATTATCTCATCTCTGGTTCTCCACTCTGCAGATTTTGGATTTCTCAGCCTCTATATATGTGAGCTAATTTCTTCAAACAAATCTCTTTTTATATACGTATACACATTTATTGGTTCTGTTTCTCTGGAGGACCCTAACAAATACAAACATTTATAGTAGAGCAAATCCAAATGACTAATAAACATATGATGCCCAACCTCACTGCTGTCAGAAAAGCATACAGATTGGCAAAATAAGTGAGTAAATATACTCAAAAGCACTCACCAGATTGGCAAAATAAGTGAGTAAATATACATGTTTAAAATGATAATACTGCCGGGCTCGGTGGCTCAGCCTGTAATCCCGCGCCTTTGGGAGGCTGAGGTGAGTGGATTGCCTGAGCCCGCGGGTTCGAGACCCGCCTGGGCAACTTGGCAAGACCTCATCTCTACAATAAATCAAAAAAAATTAGCCGGGCGTGGTAGCGTGCGCCTGTAGTTCCAGCTACTTGGAAGGTTGAGGCGGAAGGATTGCCGGAGCCCAGCAGGTCGAGGCTGCAGTGGCCGGGAGCGGCCACTGCACTCCAGTCTGGGCGACAGAGTGAGACTCCAATTTAAAAAAAAAATGATAATACTGCTGCAGGAAAGAACACTGTCATACACAGCTGGTGGAAATGTTAACTTTACATTTTTGCAAAGAAGTCTGGTAAGATGAAATACACACATATTTTTCTGCAATAATTCAACTCCAGGGACACTCAAGGAGCATCATTCTATTAGAATGTTTGTGCAGTTGTGTTTACTACCTTCTTTAGAGTAGTTCAGTGAAATGTATTTTGGCGTTATATGACTAGTTTGCCACCTACTGGCTATATAGCCCTGGGCAAGTTTCCTACCCACTTCTCAGTTTCCTAAAATGGGGAGGATAGTCTAACCTTAGTAACTTAATATATGTAAAGTGCTTAAAAAACAAAACAAACTTGGCATAAGGTAAACATGCAATAGGTATTAGTTATTGTTGTTTAATAAAAAACATTTTAATGGTTAAGAGCATAGTTAAATAATTGATGTCACTTCATAACCATAGGTTATTACTCAACTTATAAGAATTAATTAAATTTTTATGAAAAAATTACATAAAGGCATTGAGTGATAAAAGTCAAATATGGAAAAGTATATATACTTATATATGTATAATATCCCATTTTTGTAAGGCAAACCATTAATTCACTCAACAAATATTTATTGAGCATCTGTAATGTTCAAGACACTATTCTAAATACTTGGTTGCGTTGTATGGGCTGAGCATAACAATATATGAATATATGAATTTGTTTGTGATTGTACAACGAAAAAGAATTTTGAAGGATACAAATTAAGTTTTCAAGACTGACTAATTTTAAAGGTAATTAGAAAAGAATA